AAGAAATCTCTCTGAACACTTACCCTAATATTACTCACCAAGAAATCTCTCTGAACACTTACCCTAATGTTACTCACCAAGAAATCTCTCTGAACACTTACCCTAATGTTACTCACCAAGAAATCTCTCTGAACACTTACCCTAATGTTACTCACCAAGAAATCTCTCTGAACACTTACCCTAATGTTACTCACCAAGAAATCTCTCTGAACACTTACCCTAATGTTACTCACCAAGAAATCTCTCTGAACACTTACCCTAATGTTACTCACCAAGAAATCTCTCTGAACACTTACCCTAATGTTACACACCAAGAAATCTCTCTGAACACTTACCCTAATGTTACTCACCAAGAAATCTCTCTGAACACTTACCCTAATGTTACTCACCAAGAAATCTCTCTGAACACTTACCGATTACAATGAGTGGTTCTTTTCTCTCTGAACACTTACCCTAATGTTACTCACCAAGAAATCTCTCTGAACACTTACCCTAATGTTACTCACCAAGAAATCTCTCTGAACACTTACCCTAATGTTACACACCAAGAAATCTCTCTGAACACTTACCCTAATGTTACTCACCAAGAAATCTCTCTCAACCCTTACCCTAATGGTACGAACATGCAAAGATTTTTTTTCAAACCTTCCTCTAATGTTACACGTGTATGCATATTCTTCTACTGCAATTTAAATATTATTACAAAATTATTGTCGGCAGTAACGATCTGTACTTAGACAATCCCTTGAGAGCAACGATCTGTACTTAGACACTCCCTTGGGAGTAACGATCTGTACTTAGACACTCCCTTGTAAGTAACGATCTGTACTTAGACACTCCCTTGGGAGTAACGATCTGTACTTAGACACTCCCTTGGGAGTAACGATCTGTACTTAGACACTCACTTGGGAGTAACGATCTGTACTTTGACACTCCCTTGGCAGTAACGATCTGTACTTAGACACTCCCTTGAGAGTAACGATCTGTACTTAGACACTCCCTTGGGAGTAACGATATGTACTTAGACACACCCTTGGGAGTAACGATCTGTACTTAGACACTCCCTTGGGAGTAACGATCTGTACTTAGACACTCCCTTGTAAGTAACGATCTGTACTTAGACACTCCCTTGGGAGTAACGATCTGTACTTAGACACTCCCTTGGCAGTAACGATCTGTACTTAGACACTCCCTTGGGAGTAACGATCTGTACTTAGACACTCCCTTGGGAGTAACGATCTGTACTTAGACACTCCCTTGGGAGTAACTACATGGTTACGTTAACGAATTAAATTATGCTATCGTAGGATTTATGGTGCTAGCCTAAGACTTGTAGTGTTAGCCTAAGCCTTGTTGTGTTAGCCTAACATTTGGTGTGTTAACTTAAGACTAGTGGTCTTAGCCTAAGACGTGGGATGTTAGCCTAAGATTTGCGGTGTTGGCTATTTTCTAGGCTGGTGATGGAATCAAAAATCTTGTTTTATTTATAAAACACTTGATACACTAGTGCACATTTCAAACCTGTTGTAAAAAGATCAATATTGAAATAATTTATCAAATTAGGTAATTGCCAAGTGGTTCAGTTTTCCTTGTTGATCGCTGATACATTCTGATCTAAGATCAGTTTTCAACAGCTGTCTGTTCAATCAGCACAACTTATCATTATCGCATAAAATAGAGTCGGAGACTCCTGCATCGTGCGATAACTCCATCATTACAGCACAACTCAAGCCTAGCCAGTAGGCAGCAACCTGCTCATCCGAATCTGCTTCCTTATTTCAGACAGCGTGGCGCTGAATGCCTCTGCATCTGTATTCAGTAACACAGTCATCATGTTTAGTATGAAACGGTGTTTTGGTGTGCAGTAGCTCCATTCGAAGGTGACAGGTTTTGGGGGTTTTTCTCAATTAAAAGTGTCATAACTTCTGCTTTAAGTTCAGTTTTGACTGTTATTTGTCTTCTTGTTTCGTATTGATGGCAAGGCGACAATTCTTCTTTATCAGACATCTGAATGGTACTAATAAACACTTCCTACCGCGTAGAGATATAGATACATTAAAAGTATTTTAATACGTTTATTTCCAACATCGTGTTGAAATCGTGGATATACGAAGTTGATTTTTTTTTTTTTTTTTTTTTTTTTTTAAAGTTTGATTAGCAATTTTTGTTTCTCCATTTTTAACATTCTTCACAATTCGCCCACTGCAACTTCTTTCCACGCGACGCCTTTGGTTAACTTATGCTGGGTAGATATGCTGGGCAGATGTTCTTTCCACGCGACGCCTTTGGTTAACTTATGCTGGGTAGATGTGCAGTGCCTGGAAGATGGAAGATCACAGAATTAAATGTGTGTCACCGTTTCACAGTCACATTTGAATAAATCAATAAAGAGTTCCATTTAGTCCCATTCACGTCGGCAGCCTGTAAAGCTACCCAACAGAAAAACCGTTGGGTTCTTCCGGGTGCTGTTAATTTTCCTCGAAATGAATGGTGAAACTGTTATGATGGCCGTTTTGTAACAGTCTTGTTTTTTTCTTTTTAAATTTCCATCTGTTAACTTGAGTAAAACAAAGATAAGCATAGAACTAACATATCTCACTATGCATAGATCTATGTATACACGCACCTATTCATTTATGTAGTTTTAAAACAATCCAAAGATCCATCCATCAACCTGCCCGACCAACCTACCACCTAATCCATCGATTAGTCGGTCCGTCCTTCTGTCTGTCCCACATCTATCTGATTGTATGTCTGTCTATCCATCTATCTAAAATTTATCAGCTTTTATAATAAATCATGCATACTTCGGACAATCTATAACGTTATTAACCTTATGACAATCGTTAAAACATATTTTAAAAGCAACCCGTAAAATGTTCATTAAGCGACAATCTAGTGCGGAAAACGCATTTCATAACTGGTAGTTGGTGGTCAGTTGGAAGTCCAGGACCATTTGACACACTGGCTTGTTGCGGGACGTTTACAATGATTAATGCTATCACTCGGACCTCAGTGAAGAAGAACTGACCGAATCGTCAACTTCAACCTCTCGCCCCACGCCATCTCAGTCCAGCAGCAAGAGATTTTTCGAAACGGCTGGGGAACGGATAGGATGCAGTGAATGGCAAAGCTGTTCTACGTGTCTTGTCATCAGTGATTATTTCAGAAATTTCCCCCCCCCCACCCCGGGGATTTGGGGGGGGGGGCATTTAAAAATGTTCGGGGAGGGGCAGTGCAGGTTGTTTTATTATTGGACATATTTTTTTTC